TTAAAAACGTAATGTTTTCAGTGGCAAACAACCTATTAAAGATTTTTAGAAATGCAAAGATATGTATATTTCTAGGAAGAGGGTTGAGGGCCAGGCACAGTGGCTCACGCCTGTAATCCCAGCACTTTGGGAGGCTGAAGCAGGCATATGACCTGAGGTCAGTAGTTTGAGACCAGCCTGGCCAACATGGTGAAACCCCATCTCTACTAAAAATACAAAAATTGGCCGGGTTCATTGGCTCAACCACCTGTAATCCCAACACTTTGGGAGGCCAAAGCAGGTGGATCACGAGGTTAGGACATCAACACCATCCTGGCTAACATGGTGAAACCCCGTCTCTACTAAAAATACAAAAATTACCTGGGCATGGTGATGTGCACCTGTAGTCCCAGCTACTTGGGAGGCTGAGGCAGGAGAATTGCTTGAACCCGGGAGGCGGAGGTTGCAGTGAGCCAAGATCATGCCACTGCACTCCAGGCTGAGTGACAGTGAGACTGTGTCTCAAAAAAAAATAAATAAGTAAACAATAAAAATAAAAATACAAAAATTAGCCAGGCATGCTGGCACATGCCTGTGCCCACAGCTACCTGGGAGGCTAAGGCAGCAGAATCACTTGAACCTGGGAGACAGAGGTTGCAGTAAGCCGAGATTGCACCACTGCACTCCAGCCTGGGTGACAGAGCAAGACTCCGTCTCAAACAAAAAAAAGAGAGTTGATATGAAAATACATATAATAACATTTTTGTACCAGGATAGTAAAGAATTTAATCACGGACTTTTCCCCAATAGTAGAGATTTAAAATGTAGAGAACAGCCAACATTTCTGGCATAAAGAAGAAACTAACATATCCTTTCTCCTGGCTTAAAGCATCGTTTTCATTACTTTTGGGAAGATTATAGAGTCTTGCATTGTTTCGATGCTGTCTGCTTATTGATTATTTATTCAAAAAATTGTATTTTATTTATTTACACTATGAAGTTAAAAAATATTTTTTTTTTATTGTACTTTAGGTTCTGGGGTACATGTGCAGATCATGCAGGATTGTGGTATAGGTACACACATGGCAATGTGGTTTGCTGCCTCCATCCCCCCATCACCTACATCTGGCATTTCTCCCCATGTTATCCCTCCCTGACCTGCCCACTGCCTCGCTGTCCCTGTGTTCTCATTGTTCAACATATTGTTCAACAGCGTGTGATGCTCTCCTCCCTGTGTCTCTGTGTTCTAATTGTTCAAAATATTTATTATTTATTTATTTATTATTTTGAGACAGAGTCTCACATTGTTGCCCAGGCTGGAGTGCAGTGGCGTGATCTCAGATCACTGCAGCCTCTGCCTCACAGGTTCAAGACATTTTCCTGCCTCAGCCTCCCAAGTAGATGGGATTACAGGTACCCACCACCACGCCCTACTAATTTTTTGTATTTTTAGTAGAGATGGGGTTTCACTATTTGGCCAGCTGGTCTCAAGCTCCTGACCTTGTGATGCACCCACCTCGGCCTCTCAAAGTACTGGGATTATAGGCTTGAGCCACCGTGCCCTGCCCCTGCTGTCTGCTTTTTTAAGCTTTTTTCAATAATTAAGAAATATTTAGGTCAGGCACGATGGCTCATGCCTGTAATCCCAGCACTTTGGGAGGCCAAGTCAGGTGGATCACAAGGTCAGGAGTTTGAGACTAGTCTGACCAACATGATGAAAATCCATTTCTACTAAAACCACAAAAATTAGCTGGGCCTGGTGGCACACGCCTGTAATCCCAGCTACTGGGAGGCTGAGGCAGGAGAATCGTTTGAACCCAGGAGGTGGAGGTTGCAGTGAGCCAAGATCATGCCACTGCACTTCAGCCTGGACAACAGAGTGAGACTCCATCTCAAAAAAAAAGGAAAAGAAGAAATATTTAGATTTGACTTACTTCCACTTCTGTTTTTCACTGAAATATCAATACTCAACCATTTAACTTTTGTCGTGGAGTTAGACCAAAATACCTGAAGCACCAAAATGAAATACACTCTGATAAATCAGTCATGCAGCAAACCAGACAACCTTCGGTATAAATCATTAATTTGGCTTTATTATGTTGGTACATACTGTCTGTCTTTCAAAGCATTCAAACTTTGATAAACTCTTTTTTAAGGTATTTGACACCTAAATCTCAGTTTGTGTCAGCCTCACACTCTGAAGTTGTACAAGAAGTCAGGAAAAACTCCATATCTAAGGTATGTTGATACTGAAGATGTTCTGAGTTTTGCTGGTTTATTAATGCTATAGATTACTAATACCCGTAGTGTTCTAACTTAAAAAAAAAGCCACTGTTGTTGGCTGGGCACATTAGCTCACGCCCGTAATCCCAACACTTTCAGAGGCTGAGGCAGGCGGATCACAAGGTGAAGAGATTGAGACCATTTTGGCCAACATAGTGAAACCCCATCTCTACTAAAAATACAAAAATTAGCTGCGTGTGGTGGCACGTGCCTGTAGTCCCAGCTACTCGGGAGGCTGAGGCAGTGGGATTGCTTGAACCCAGGAGGCAGAGGTTGCAGTGAGCCAAGATCACACCACTGCACTCCAGTATAGCCTGGTGACAGAGTGAGACTCCATCTCCAAAAAAAAAAAAAAGAAAAGAAAAAAAAAGCCACTGTAGTTAATCAAAACACTCTTAGTTATCTTAGGCTCACCTAGAGAAAAAGCACTTTTTCTCTAAAGGAAACTTTACAATTTTTAAAATACACTTAATACAGAAAGCAAATCTACCTTAAAAGGCAAAGTTTTTCTCTAAAGGGCTAGAGAGTAAATATTTTAGCCTTTGTGGTTAGTATGGTCTGTGTTACAACGTCTTATACTGTGAAAGCGTCTATAGATAATATGTACACAAATTAGCTTGTATGTATTCCAATAAAACTTTGTCTACAAAAACAGGCGGAGGCTGGATTTGGTCCATGAACCATAGATTACTGATTCTTGACCTATGTATCTAATCCATACGGACAAAACTGAATAGGTTATACCTGGCACCAGCTTCACTTAGAGACTTAGACTATTACAAGATGGGAAGCTGGGCACAGTGGCTAGTGCCTGTAATCCTAACACTTTGGGAGGCTTAAGTGGTTGGATCATCTGAAATCAGGAGTTTGAGATGACCCTGGCCAGTGTGGCGAAACCACATCTCTACTAAAAATACAAAAAAAAAAAAAAAAAAATTAGCTAGGTGTGGCATACACCTGTAGTCCCAGCTACTCAGGAAGCTGAGGCAGGAGAATCACTTGAACCTGGGAGGCAGAGGTTGCAGTGAGCTAAGATCATGCCACTGTACTCCAACCTGGACAACAGAGTGAGACTCTGCCTCAAAAAAAAAAACAAAACAAGACGAAACAAAACAAAACAAACAAAAGGAATATTACAGGATGAAGGGAAAAGTGTGCTAGTAAGGCAGCATCAGGCATGTGTGTTCAGCAGGAGTCCTAAACAGCAGAGCTCCAAAGTGATGCCCTGGAAATAAGACCACACAAGTGAGTGTATTAACTACTTTGAAGATTCATACCCTGTAAGTGTCAGTTATTTCTTGTAACAAACAATGGATGTAGCTTCCAGGGGTTTTCGTAAGAAACACACCCAGCCAACAATTACAAGTTACTTAACAAGTCCCAAGCTTTGTCTTCCAGACACAAGGTGGTTTTGGTTGGTTTTGTTTTCGTTGTTTTGTTTTGTCTGTTTTTTGAGAGAGAATCTGTGTTGCCCAGGCTGGGGTGCCGTGGATCCTCAGCTTCCCTGGTAGCTGGGACTACAGGCTTACACTCCCATGCCTGGCTAATTTTTGTACTTTTAGTAGAGATGGAGTTTCAGCATGTTGGCCAGGCTGATCTCAAACTCCTGACCTCAGGTGATCCGTCCACCTTGGCCTCCCAAAGTGCTGGAATTACAGGCATGGGCCACCGTGCCCAGTCAGGTTACAAATATCTTTAAATATCATTCATGCTTATCTATACTTTGATATTAGACTGCAGTTACACCTTGTGGCAAAACAGAGTGGGTCTAGTACATCAGGGATGACACAGACAATTAGATATTATGAGTTATTAGACTGGCTAGTATTAAATCACATTTTTAAAATCTTTTAATAATTGTGCTACAATATTGTTCCTTTTGTAAAGCCACTGTAGATCTAAATTTTACTTAAAAACATTATTCTCAAAAGTTGTCTGTAAGCTTCACCTAAATACCAAAAGGAAGGTCCACAGCACAGAAAAGGGTTAAAAACCACTGTGCTGGCGAACCTTTGTAAGGTGAAAAGAGATCAGGTCCTGATACCAGCTATTGGCCATATTTGGAGTCTACTCTGTGGGTTTTAATCGGTAGGTTTCCATGGGAGCGAAAATGAAGTAATACATTACTTCATCTAAACTGGCCCATGAAATAAAAATACTGTTAAGAATAAATACGGGTGGATGTGGTGGCTCACGCCTTTAATCCCAGCACTTTGGGTGGCCAAGGTGGGCAGATACCTGAGGTTAGGAGTTTGAGACCAGCCTGGCCAACATGGTGAAACTCCATCTCTACTAAAAATAAATTAGCCAGGTGTGGTGGCACACACCTGTAGTTTCCGCCACCCGGGTTCAAGCAATTCTGAGGCAGGAGACTCACTTGAACCCGGGTAGCGGAGGTTACATTGAGCCGAGATCACATCACTGCACTCTAGCCTGGGCGACAGAGTGAGACTCCGTCTCAAAAAATTAAATAAACAAACAAACACCTACTTAGGAGGCTGAGGTGGGAGAATCACTTAAACCTGGGAGGTGAAGATGGCAGTGAGCTGATATTGCGCCACTGCACTCCAGCCTGGGTGACAGAGCAAGGCTCTGTCGCTAAATAAATAAACAAACCTTATTAGTGATACTGAATAATGTATACTAACAGGTCAGCTATAGTATCAGTGTAATTAGACTTGCATCTTATGATTCGGTATTTTCCCCTAGTTCACTCAGTGTTTTTTTGTTTTCTACAGGACATTGACAGTAGTGATATCAAAAGCCCAACATGCCAAGATACAGAAATAGAAGATATGCCAACACTTTCTCCACAGATATGCCTTGGAATTGGAGAACAAGGTGCAGATTCTTCAATAGAGTCCCCCATGCCATGGTTATGTGCCTGTGGTGCTGAATTGTACCACGAAAGAGAAGTCAAAACAGAACCAAACAATCATCATAAAGAGTGTGTCTTAACTCCCGAGGGACCTGAAACCAGAGATCCCAACTCTAAAGAAACTGTAGTTGTGCCTATTGGCAGAACAGAGAGTGGGTGCGCCACATCAGGGGTTACACAGACAAACGGAAACAGCACAGGTGAGACAGAAAATGAAGAGTCTTGCCTACTGATCAGTAAGGATATTTCCAAAAGAAAAAACCAAGAGTCTTCCTTTGAAGCAGTCAAGGATGCACGCTTTTATGCAAAAAGAAGGAAGATGTTCCTCAACTCCTCAGATCAAGAGGAAACAGAAACAAACTTTACCCAGAAACTGATAGACTTGGAGCATCTACTGTTAGAGAGACATAAACAAGAAGAACAGGACAGGTTATTCGCATTACAACTTCAGAAGGAGGTGGACAAAGAACAAATGAAGCCAAACCGGCAAAAAGGATCCCCTGATGAGTATCACTTACGTGCTGCGTCCTCACCTCCAGACAAAGTGCGAAATGGACAGAGGAAGAATTCCAGAGATAGGAACTTCAAAAGGCAAACTGATACAGAGCGCCCAAAACCTGAGAGAGGCTCAAAGGACGAAAATAGGCAACTCTCTGTTAGGATGCAGCTGAAGCATTCAGTTAATGGAGGAAAGACGCCAAATTCTACTAGAAATCGTTGTAATGTAACCAGAAGTGCTCAATCCCTACAGCCAAACATTTCACAGAGAAGCATTTTTCAGATGTTTCACAGATGTCCGAAGTAATGCATGCCTTTAAAGGGAGTGCTTTGTAATCTAGTAAAGCTGGATTGTGAAGCTGTTCTCTTATCATAGAATCTTTATACATGTGTCATTCATGCTGCTCTCTAGGCACACTCATTGTCCTTAATTAAAGGTCTGTGTGGTCGTAAGGACAATACCTTAGCTTTGGCCAACTCCAAGAAGTCTTCAAGTGCCATTCTTTTTCCAAAAAACGCATGTTTTTTGGCCTTTGCACACTTTTTTGTCATGACTGGTAATCAAGATTATACTATTCTAACTAATTAAGGAACCCATGCAGGGTTTAAAATCCACATCTTCTTGGCTATTGTCCCACGTTTACAGAGTATTCAAAATGTATTTTCCTGAAGTAATCTAATTTCCATCTCCAGTTTAATTAAATTTTCAGCATTGTAGTGATTCCTTTGGTGATTTTTTTGTTTTTAAACCAAGTTTTGCTCTGTTGTCCAGGCTGCAGTGGTGAAATCTCAGCTTACCACAACCTCCGCCTCCCAGGTTCAAGCGATTCTCCTGCCTCAGCCTCCCGAGTAGCTGGGATCGCAGGTGTGCGCCACCATACCCAGCTAAAATTTTTTGGTATTTTCAGTAGAGATGGGATTCTCTTGCACTCCTGACCTCAGGGGATCCACCTGCTTTGGCCTGCCAGAATGCTGGGATTACAGGCATGAGCCGTCATGCCTGGCCTCTTTCCTTTCGTTTAAAATGGATTAGAATCAGTATTAAATCAGACAGTCAGGGTTTTCTAGGAAATTGAGAATTTGTTGCTAGAAAGGAAACTAGACTCTGCAAAAGGAGTTAAGAGCTGGGATGAGGCTGGATGGGGTGACAGGCAGGATGGCGTGACTGACTGGGATCATTGGTCTGGGATCATTGCAACTGGTGGTCAGAAACTAGTCCAGGGTGAAGCAGCAGGTGCAGTTTGGCAGAGCATCCTCCTCCCTTGTCCTTCCTTTGTGAAACAACACAGGAGACATTTGGGTTTTGTAGCTTTTCACACCATACTATCAGGTGTCAAAATAAAAATTAGTTACTAAATTGTGTGGATTTTTGGAAACCTGCATTTCTGTTCATTTGCTGTTCCAGAAAAAATGAGATTATAGGAGAGTTATATCACAGTATCTTATGTTATGGAACCTGAAACATCACCATGTATTTTCTTATATTATCATTTGTTTTGATGCTGCTCTTATTCGAGTTTATGAACAGAAATAGAAAATAGGATGCTTGGGTTTTGCCCTTTCTTACTCCTGAAAGTTAAATCAGAAGACACGGATTTCATTTTGTGAAATTTAGCTCAGAGACGGTTGATCTTTTGTTTCCTTAATTAGTAACGAACAGGTAGCTTTAACATTTCTGCTGATACCTAGTCATCTATTCTTTTAATGGGGAAATAGGATAAAATGTCCTAGAGCTAATTCTAGCTTCACTTTGCCAGTATTTTTGTATGTCATTAAGACTTTTTCCTCCAAGTTTTGTGATAGAAGTTTTGTTCATCTTTGCATCCTTGATGGCATCTTTATCAATTTTGATTGGTTAATTATAAATTCTATGCTAATTTAAAACCTAATTTGCCTCTTAAGTTGACTGCTCTCTGAGTAATGATTGTAGTCAAATGAAGTATAGTTTGCAACTATACTGTCACATTGATCATTAAGTAAAATAAACCAAATGTGTCTAAAACAGATCAAGATCGATTTTCTCATCAAATCAGTTAAGAGCAGTTTCACTTCATGTTTTAGAGTGGACATTCTTGGAACTCCTCAAATTAAAAGCTATTTAATCTGCCTGGAATAGTCTGTGACCAAAAAAGAATGGAAAAACAATAGCCTATCATGTGGTATATTTAGGATTTATATATTCAGCTACTTGTCTGTGAAGTAGTCTTCCTGACTAAAATTGGTTTCAAGATAAACTAATTTCTCTATTAGTATTTCTGCTATTCTTACCATGTATCCTCTTTTTGTTAGAAACTAATAAATGTATTAGTCATTGGAATGTACTGCTACTTTTTCCTCTCATTTTTGTGGAAGGAATATGAAAACGTTTAATTTCTCAGGGAGTACTAAGGCTGTGCAGAGGCTGGAATCTGAAAAATAAAATATTAAAAATAAAAATGGGCTATTATGTGTATTTTACCACAGCTTAAAAGTATGTAAAAATTGGCTACATAAAAACTAAAAGTTCTGCATAACAGAAACTACCATCAAGGGAAATTGGAAGCTGTGGCAAACTTGGGAAGAAATAGTTGCAACGCGTCACAAAGAGCTAATTCCTTTATGTAAAGTATCTGCCAGTTCTTTAAGAAAAAGACCAATAACTCAGCTGGGCATGGTGGCTGATGCCTGTAATCCCAGCACTCTGGGAGGCCCAGGCGGGTGGATCACCTGAGGTCAGGAGTTTGAAACCAGCTTGGCCAACATGGTGAAACCCTGTCTCTACTAAAAATATAAAAATTAGCCAGACGTGGTGGCGTGGTGTACCTGTAATCCCAGCTACTTGGGAGGCTGAGGCACAAGAATCACTTGAATCCGGGAGGCTGAGGTTGCAATAAGCCAAGATTGTGCCACTGCACTCCAGCCTTGGCAACCAAGTGAGACTCAATCTCAATAAAATAAAATAAAATAAAATAAGAGTAGGTGTGGTGCTTATACCTGCGGTGCTTAATCCCAGCACTTTGAGAGACTGAGGTGGGCAAGTTGCTAGAGCTCAGGAGTTTGAGACCAGCCTGGGCAACACGGCAAAACCCCTTCTTTACAAAAAACACAAAAATTAACCAAGTGTGGTGGTGCACACCTGTAGTCCCAGCTACTTGGGATGATGAAGTGGGAGGATTGCTTGAGCTTGGGACTTGGAGGTTACAGTGAGCTGAGATTCTAAGATTGTACCACTGCACTCCAGCCTGCTCGACAGTGAGACTGTCTCAAAAAAGGAAGGGAGGGAGGGAAGAGAAAGAAAAGGACAGAGAAAGGGAAGGTGGGAAAGAAGAAAAGGAAGGAAATAGCATTGTGAGGAATTTTTGACTTATTTAGCTTTAGTGAATTATTGATAAGTTATTTAAAAAGCAAAACAGATTTTTCAGATTGGATTGCCGCACACTTCCAATTCTGTGAACAATGGAGAAGCCAGATAAAATAGGAAATTGTCTACTTTAAAACATTGGTGGGCTACTGAAACAATGAGAGTCAAAAGGGCTAAGATTCGGAGAGGGGAGGCTTAAGAGGCAAACTGATGTTTGCAATCACTTTTTTCCTGCTAATATGAGCTACTTTGTAAGATAAGGCTGGGTGAGATGGCTCATGCCTTTAATACCAGCACTTTGGAAGGCTGAGGCAGGAGGATCACTTGAGCACAGGAGCTGAAGACCAACCTGGGCAACACAGTGAGAATCCATCTCTACAAAAAGTTTAAAAATAAGCCAGGTGTGGTACACATGTAGTTCCAGCTACTTGGAAGGCTGAGGTGGGAGGATTGCTTGAGCCTGGGGGTTTGAAACCAGCTTGGGTAACACAGTGAGATCTTGTCTCTACAGAAGAAAAGAAAAATAAGAAAGGAAATTGAACTATAGGATCAGTAAGTTTTCTTTTCTTTCTTTCTTTCTTTTTTTTTTTTTTTTTTTTTTTTTTTGAGAGAGAGACAGTTTTACTCTGTCCCCAGGCTGGAGTGCAGTGGCACAATGATAGCTCACTGCAACCTCCAACTTCTGGACTCTAGTAATCCTGCCTCAGCCTCCCAAGTGGAAGGCTCGCTGGGGCTGCAGGAACATGCCACAACACCCTGCTAATTAAACAAAAAATTGTTTTGGTAGAGATGGGGATCTCATTGTTGCCCAGGCTGGTCTTGAGCTCCTGGCTGTAAGCAATCCTACTTAGTTCTCCCAAAGCATTGGGATTATAAGCATTGTGAGTCACAATGCCTGGCAGGACCAAGTAACTTTTACCTGAGTTTGAGAATCAAAACAGTCATGTCGTGCAGGAGGGAAAGAAGAAAATAACTTTCTTTTTAACTTTGTCTCTGCTTGTGTGACCTTGCAGGAGTTAGCTTTCATTACCTCACTTTTAAATTTGTAATGAGGCTGGGCTCACACCTGTAATTCCAGAACACTGGGAGGCAAAGGTAGGCAGATCACCTGAGGTCAAGAGTTAGAGACCAGCCTGACCAACATGGTGAAACCCCGTCTGTACTAAGAATACAAATATTACCTGGGTGTGGTGGTGCACATCTGTAAAATCAGCTACTCAGGAAGCTGAGGCAGGAGAATCACTTGAACCCGAAAAGCAGAAGTTGCAGCGAGCAGAGATGGCACCACTGCACTCTAGCATGGGTGACAGAGTGAGACCCTGTCTTAAAAAAAAGTTGTAAAAGAGATCATAATGTGACCACCAGAGTGGCTGTGAAGAGTTAAGTGATCTGTGTAGCGCACCTGGTACAGGCCCTGAGAAAAGTGATCCTTAAGAAGGGACAGCTCCTTCCTGCTGACTCTCCACCCACTTTTTTCTTGGAACAGTCTCACTTCTTGGAGTCATCCAGTGACTTTGTGCTGCCTTAAGTCCCCAGATACGGCATCCAATACATTGCAGTGATCTTTTGTCTTCTGATGAAGCCTCCACTTACCTCTTCCCTGCCAGATGTATCCTGGGTCACAAGAAACTTTGGCTCTAGAAGAAACTGATTCTCAGAAATATCTTGTAAGTTACTCAAGTTCTCATACTAGCTCTGCATATGTGGTGTGGATAAAGGTTTGAAAACCAGGCACTAAAACCTTTGTGGTATTAAAAAGGCAGGATCACATAGGTGGGGTGGCTCGCACCTGTAATCCCAACACTTTGGGAGGCTGAGGTGGGAGGATTGCCTGAGCCCATGAGTTTGAGACCAGCTTGGGCAACATGGCAAAACCACATCTCTATTAAGGATCACTTTTCTCAGGGCCTGTGCCCAGGTGGTCTCAAACTCCTGGGTTTAAGTGGTTCTCCTTCCTCAGCCTTCAAAGTGTTGGGATCACAGGCATGAGCCACCACATCCAGCTGGAAGCCTGGAGTTCTGATGGGAGAGTAAGAGTGTATTCCAGCTCCAGCAGATCGACGGACACAGATCGCCTTTTCTGTTTTTGTTCTCTCCAGGTCCCTGACAGATTGGAAGTTGCCTGCCCACATGGAAAGTGAGTCTTCCCCACCTAGTCCACTTAGATTCTCATGAGGATTACCTCTGGAAACACCTCCACAAATACACCCCAAAATAATGCTTCCTGAAGTGTCTAGGTATTCCTTAAGTCAGTCAAGTTGACACCTAAATTAATCATCACACTATTAAATATACACTGTAGGCAAAACATCTATAAAAGGGAGGGCACAAAGAGGAAGTAAGACCCCATTTCCCCAGAACTCCATGCCATTAACTCTGAATTGGCAAAAGTCCTTAATGTTTGACTTTATGTACAGAAATATGACCTTCCTTAT